ACAGTGTTGTTGTCAATTAGGACAATGCACTGAGGCATTTTTAGAACCACAGTAAGTAAATCATTACTATTTTTAAAGGTACCTCTTGGGCTGCAGGCCTGACATAAGACATACTGTAGAGAGAATGCCTCTCAGGCAAGGAGCATGTTTGTCATACCATCATCACAACACGTGGTGGAGGTGTTGCTGTCCCCACTTCTCAGGGCAGAAAAATGTGGCCCCAGGAAGCTGAGCCAACTCTCTGGCTCACTGGTGGTGGGAGCAGGAGTAGGGGTTCCAAGCCAGCCTCTTTTCCCCACTTTACCCCATCAGGGTTGGGGGAAGATGCCTGGCTCGTGTTGTATCCACACCCACCCACCAGGGAGTGGAGACCCTCCTAACTCAGCCAGTGACTTTTTATTTTTATTAATGTAAATATGTTTTTGAAGTATAAATAGGCAGAAAGTACTCAAATCTCAGGTGACTAAGCTTGATGGTTTTTACGAACTGAACACACCGGTACGGCCAGAACTCAAAGAGCAGAGTAACACACACACACACACACACACACCACACACCGTCCAGGAGCTTCCTCCTGCCCAGTAGCAACACCGCCCTAACTTTGTCATCCTGTTTTTGGAACTTGATAAGTGAAGTCACACAAACTTTACTTTCCCTTCACTCAAAATTATATTTGTGATTCATCCATGTGTTTGCCTGTAATTGTGGGTCCTTCCTTTTCATGGCTGATCAGTGTTCTACTATGCGAAGATAAGCAATTTATTTTACAGTCCACTGTTGGTGGACAGAAGTGTTGTTTCCAGATTGGGGCTTTTACAAATAATGCTTCTGTGAGCATTCGTGTACATGCATGTGGCCCCCTTGTGTGCACCAGGAGTGAAGCCGCAGGCCGGGTTCAGCGGCAGGTTTCCGGGGGGCCTGTGCCAGTTTGCACGCTCTCTGCATCGGGAGAGTTCCAGTGGCACCACATCCCTGTCTGCACTTGCTATCGTCTTGTTTCCATTTTGGCCGTTCTGGTGGGCATGTAGGACAGTCACATTATGACATTAATTTGCACTTCTCTGATGATTCATAAAGTTGAGCACTTTTTCATATACTTACTGGCCACTTGGATATCCACTTTTGGGAACAAGGATCCCTTTCTCATTTCTGTTTTAGTTGGAAAACATCTCAGAAAATGGCTCCTGTGCTGAAAGATTCTGTGTTTCTCTTCCCACCTGGTCGATCATTTCTAAGCCTCAGCATCTGGCAGTTCTAAGAAGGGTTCCAAAGCCAAGGGGAGTCAGAAAAGAGGAGTCAGGGGGTGGGCCCAGCTGACACTGGGCATCCCCGGAGCTTTGGAAATTCCACAGCTGCAGCGAGGACTTGCTCTGTGCACCTTGGCATTGCTGTGCGGCTGTCAGTTTAAAGGGCCCTCCGAACCGAGGAGAGAGGATTTATATCACGCTTAGAGCTAAAGACGTGCCCTGAACTCCAGCACCCGCACCCCTTTCTCGCTTCCTTTAGAGTTGGGCTCTGGATTGATTTCTGTGACTGCAGAGGAATAATGATAAACAGAGTTCTTCCCTTCTCCCCAGCCCCTAACGGGGCAGGGAACACATGGGGAATTGGGTTTGCTGCCAAGGTTTAGCATTTGGGGACACTGAGGACCTAATGTGTGCCTAGGGCTTTAAAATATTGAAGAAAGCTCTCCCGCTCTGGCAGTGATTATCAGCTCAAAATTTTCCTGACGCCAAGTGCAAGCCCATCTCCTCTCACTCAGAGAAGGAACTGTTGGTCTCCCAGCCAGACCGCACCTCGTTACCAGCCCTCCCCAGGCTCAGCCTCATAAAGGGCAACCAAAAAATGCCCGGATGGGAAGGGGATAGCTAGAAGTCGCGTACAGTGAACACCCACTACGTGCTGGTCACGGTGCTAAGTGTGTCACACTTTCTAGCTCTCGCTGAATCCTCACCACAAGCCTCCTGATGATCAAAACCTGCCCTGTTCTCAGGGGACCTACAGGTGCGTGGGCAGCTAAGATGGAAATGCTGCCAGGTAAGATTAATTTATTCCAGTTGCTTGACACATCTGTAGAAGACATGCCCCGAAGCAGAACATCAGCTCGTTCTTTTAACAGACAATTTCTGGGCCACCTGCCTGTGATGGGTGCAGACTGAGGGCTGTAGTCCTAAGACAGGTAAGTCAGGGTCACGTCCTGTAAGAGGTCTGCAGTCTCCCTGTGACCATTCATTGTTAAGTGAACAGTGTTGAAAACCCCTGCCACGTTTGTGTAAGCGGAAGGAGAGCCCACTTCCGGTCAGTACACCTTGTGTACGGTGCCCGCCTGTGTTCCACCAACATGCCACAAGTGGGGACCAGCACCTTGTGGCACTCACCAGCTGTGTGTCCTTGGGTTCAGTTCCCTCCTCTTCAAAATGGGGATAATAGTAATAGTCATAATAATAATCCTACCCCGGAGGGCTGTTGTGATACGAGTTTGATACATACATGCATGTGAACAGCTGCAAATAAAGAGCTTAGGACAGCATCTGACCACATGCCAAGTCTTCTTCTTCTTCTTTTTTTTTTTTTTTTTTTAGAGATTTTATTTGTTTGAGAGAGACAGAATGAGTACAAGCAGGGGAGGGATAAGCAGATTCCCTGGCTGAGTACAGAACCTGCTGCAGGACTCGATCCCAGGACCCTGGGATCATGGCCTGAGCTGAAGTCAGATGCTTAACTGACTGGGCCACCCAGGAGCCCCCATAAAAAGTCTTCAATAAACATTAACTACAATGAGCCAGAAACGAACGTAACATTGTGTGTCAGCAGTACTCAAATTTAAAAATATATAAATAAGTAAAAAATGAATTACAATTAGGCAGGAGGATTTGGGTTTGGGAGGGGGCTGTTCACAGAGGCATGATTTGGGGAGCAGTGCAAAGCTTGAATCAGAACCAGGTCGGGGACAGGGAGAAAGAGAGCTGGGTACAGGGGTGTAGCTGGGGGAACCTCAAGAGAGGTGTCAAGTGTTGGCCTAGGCAAGGTGTGCGGCCATGTGCCTGGCGGTGAGTGATCTGCTCTCTGGGCCTGAAAAAACAGGATGCCCAGTCCTCCCTAAGCCTCATCCAAACTGTGAGGGTTTGTATGAGGGTCAAAAGAGGATATGGCGAGAGTGTCTAAAGCCACAATACTCCACGCAGCCTCACCTCCAGTGAAGGAGAGCTGGATGTGCTCTGGTACGTGACCTCCAGGCACCAGCCAAGCCCTGCTTTAGTTGTAATGGCTCTCCATATTAACCCTGCAGCTCCAATAAATGAAAATCTCCATAAAACATACTCTTGACCACTTTCCCATTCCTTATGATATTCCTGTGACAACTCTCATGTTAGTATTTACTAGTTTGATTGCATCTTAGTACATTATAGAATGCTTTTATTTAATTATTTTTAAAGATTTTATTTATTCATGAGACACACACACACACAGAGGCAGAGACACAGGCAGAGGCAGAGACACAGGCAGAGGGAGAAGCAGGCTCCATGCAGGGAGCCCGACGTGGGACTTGATCCCGGGTCTCCAGGATCACACCCTGGGCGCTAAATCGCTGAGCCACCCGGGCTGCCCTACAGAATGCTTTTAACCCCTCACTTATTCTGTTACTAAAAAAATAAGTGTGAAGATGCAGCTTCAGGCTTCTAGCACATTCCTGTATTCTTGGGGAACATGTACAAGCTTATATGAGACATGTAACCACCACCATCTTCATTCTTGATCCAGCAGACCAACACCTCTCCTCTCCCTCCGGGCCTCCCAGCCTGTCCTATGCCTCTCTGCCTTCGCCTATTCTCTTGGCCTAGAACGTGCCCTTCCCTAACTTAGCTTATATGAGACATGTAACCACCACCATCTTCATTCTTGATCCAGCAGACCAACACCTCTCCTCTCCCTCCGGGCCTCCCAGCCTGTCCTATGCCTCTCTGCCTTCGCCTATTCTCTTGGCCTAGAACGTGCCCTTCCCTAACATCACATCAAACTCCTATTCACCCTTCAAACCCTCATTCAGTTATCCTCTCTTTGAAGCTTTTAACCGATCCTTCCACAGGAACTGCCCAGTTTCTGTCCCCTGTGCATTAGGAATTATCATGTGTATTATACTTTATTACAATGATTCACCAGTTAGAGAATACTTCAAGGGCTGCCTCTGGTCTTGGCTTAGTTATCTCTGCATCTCATCTCGGGGTCCAATCAGAAGGCCTGGAAGAGGGTAAGGGCTTAATAAACATGTCGACAGCAAAACTAAACCTGGTCCTACATCCAGAGATTCTATGGCTATTCATAAATTTTTTCACAACTGGATAGTAGAAGAAAATGCATCCCTCTGCTGATCATCAAAAGATACTACAGGAGAAGTTTGAGGGTTCACAGGAATTTCAAACAGCCTCCCCAAGCCCAACCAGCTTCTAAGAGAAAGCCCACTGCAGATCCCTTCCCAGGTCAGAGGCTTTCATTTTTATCATGAGAAGTGTTTTTTCCACTGAGACATACTGAACACTTCCTTACATCAGAGACAAAGCTTTCACGGAGTGATACTCACCCGTGCTCTGTTCATTGCTCTCCATTTTCTCTTTCTTTCTTTCTTTCTTTCTTTCTTTCTTTCTTTCTTTCTTTCTTTCTTTCTTTCTTTCTCTTTCTTTATTTCCCTCTCTCTCTTTCTTTCTTTTTTCTTTTTTTTCTTTCCTTCCTTCCTTCCTTCCTTCCTTCCTTCCTTCCTTCCTTCCATTGCTGATCACCATCCAATAAATTGATTTCATGATTCTTTAGCCTAACCAGTCTAAAAAAAACACTGCTCTAAGCCCCCAGCTAATATAACCAGAGGCTTCTTGGAGGAGGAGCCCCCCAGGCCCTGAAGGTCAGCTCAGAGGAGCAGGGGTGCCACCAGTGGGCAGAGGGTAGGCAGGGGCAAGTAGGTGTGGAGGGCACCAGCAAGACTAATCCACTTGCCCCTCTCGTTGCAGCCGAGCCCCTGCCGCTGATGGACCTGTGCCGGAGATCCATCCGCTTGGCCCTGGGCCGCCAGCGCCTACAAGACATCGGCGCCCTGCCCCTGCCTCAGTCTCTCAAAAACTATCTGCAGTACCAGTGAGGCTGCGGAGCAGCAGTGGGTACCCACAGCCAGCAGGGCCTGTCATTCGTGGTCACGCAGTACCTTCAGGAAGGAGCACCAGGACACACAGTTCTTTGAAAGGACCAGGACACCTTTCCCAACCTGGAGAACGAAACATCTCTTGCCAACAGTATTTGCGGCCTTGGTAAGTCAGGCACCTCCTTGGTGGCCGTGATGAGCCCGGAGCCTACGCCCAGCCGAGATCCCACCTGCCCACCGAGACCCAGCGGCCACCGGTATTGCTCAGAGAGCCGGTCTCCTTCTTGGAGAGAATGAATAGAACATCTGGGCAGGAGGCACTTCTATTGCGTGCTCTGGTGCAGACAGGGCCGGGGAAGCTGGCCGGCTCGGGGAGAAAATTGCCTCTGAATAATGAATGATGAAAGCAGCTTGATGCGGGTGCCCCCCCCCCCCGGGCCCCCACCCCTCGACACTTTAGGACGCTGTGCCCCTTTGCAAGGCTGTTCCCCAGGGATGCCCAACTGCAGCATTGGCAAGTGGACAACGCAGTGTTTGGACCCCTTGCAGCTTACCTCTCTGAACATTGTTTACTCTCCCCTTCAGCACCCTCTGTCCCCCCCGCTGACCCGCAGCTCTCGGGCTCCCCCAGGCACCTCTATTCAGGGAAGCTGAGTCTAACTCACCCCAGGGACAGAGAGTATCCTTAGTAGTAGTAGTAGTAGTATCTTCAATCACGCTGCATTGTAAAAGAGGAACGTGGTGAGGGCAGTACTTAGTCCAAAGGTGCTAAAGGGGGGATTTGGGGCACTGTGCCGCCCAAGTGGATGATGTCCTCAGGCTGGGGAGCCTTCCTGGGGTGCTGGGAGGGTCTCTAGGCAGCCGTCCGTTCTGGAGGTGCCTGGCTGCCGCAAAGCTTTATTGGAGCGAATTATTTTTTCACTTTAGGAGACATGTACAAGTTTGTTTCTGTTTCAAGTGTGTGTGTGATGTGCTGTTTATTTATCAGCTGGGGGCCCCAGGGGCAGCCCTGTAACCGGGAGGGTGGACGCGGGCGGCCCCTTCTCTGCCTGCCCCCTCCCGGGGACGCTGCTGCTGCTGCCGCTGCAGCCACCGTTGGGCATCTCTCGTGTGTTCCTGAAGCTCTCTGCCCAGACCCGTTTTCAACTGGAAATTGCCACAGCAGTGGGATTCCAGAGCCCCAGACGGCACTGCCTCCCCCCACCTCAATGTGAATTTGACTGATGAATGAGGAGCGTTTCTAATAAAGTTTGTCGTTCAGTCCTCCGGCTGTTTATTAGATGCTGTGGGGAGGGCGGGCGGGTGTCTTGCATCAGCCTAGCTGGTGACCCCAGGTGCGCAGAAGGCGGGGATGTGGACCCCTCTCCAGGCCCTTCTCGCCTCTTCGGTCTTGTTGCCACGTGAGCCCGAACCCCGGTCATTTTACAAAGGCCTGCCCTGCCCTGGGTGAACGAATGTGCCTGGGTCCTGGCTCCGCACAAAGCTAGTCATGGTGGTGGAAACACAGACTGACCTCCTGGTGCCAGGGTGAGGGTGCCCAAGGGGTGGTTCTGCAGGGGGCGTCCCGCAGGGTGAACCCTATGGGATAACAATCTCAAACCAGACCCCAAGGTGGGGCCGGATGCAACTTTGGAAGCGCATGTCATCATCAAGGAGTAGTGCAAATTGCTGACGGGTGAGTGTGCGGCCTAGGCAGGCTTGGGGCTGCAAGCAAGTCGGGGTCAGGACTGGCACAGCAGGCACTCAGCCATACAGGCCACCAACCTGCCCTGTGCCAACGTCTGAGGACCCAGGGCCAGGCAGATCTATCCCTCCAGGGGAGAGGTTTACTGATGTTACAGACCAATAAAGTGAGAGGGAGGGCATGAAGGGGGTATAGGAAGATAGGGCCCGAAGGGAAGGCTCCCTGGGGAAGGAGGCCCTCTTCCCTCCTCTCTGCTTTGGAAGCAAAGACAACCTTGGTAAGGACAGACCAAAAGCATCAGACTTGCTAAACCTACCACCAAGGACAGTGTTTTTTCCCTTGCTCTCATCTCGGGGCTGGAAGCTGGGCTCAGATTCGGAGTCAGGAGGCCGGGGTTTGGGTCCCAGCCTTGTCCCTTATATGTTGTGACCTTGGGTGCATCACTTCCTTCTCTACACACCGTAGGGGCCGGAGCAGGTGGCCAGTGGATGAGGACCCCTCCGCTCCCAACTCGAGGGTCCGTTTCAGCACCAGCCTTCCTGTGTAAAAGCATCCGTCTTGTCCACACATTGCTCATGCCATTTCCTTCACCCCAGCAATGCTCTCCCCATCCTCACGTTAGAACCTTCTCCGGGATTGGCTTAGATTGACCCTCCTCCAGGGAGCCACCCCTCAACCTTTGCTCTGGGAGTCCACTCCTCACCTCCTGTCTTGAGGAGGCCTCTCCTGACGTCCAGGGCCCTCAACCAAGTGCTTGGGCTAGAGCCCCTCCCGTCCCCATGGGCTGGGAGTCTTGGGATGCTAGAGCCTGGGCCTGTTGTTTCCAAACTGTGGTGGACGAGCCACATGGCCTCACCAAAGACCAGTGAGGTGGAGGTGAGTGTGGAAGTCCCCCCTTATAGCTGGGATGTCCATGGAACCTGCAGGGCAAGTCCTGGAGGGATGGGGAGGGATTCCTGCTGGAGCCAAGAACCTGGCCAGGGGGCCCCTGGGGCCTAGGCCCTTTCACTCCCCTCGCCATTCCGCAGATACTGGCGGGCATTGTTGGGAGTTGGGGTGCACCTGCACTGCTGGAGCAGGAAGGCAGGGATGTGACCCGGCCCTGATGGAGCTCTCACTGTAAGGGGAGACAGGGAACATGAAGCAAAGCCACGGAATGACGTCAGAGGGAAGACAGGAGCTGGGCGGGACTGGAGGGCAGGGAGTGGAAGGCGCCCAGGGCTGACAGGGGTCAAGAAAAACCAGTACAGAGATGCAGAGTTGGGAAGAAATGAGAGGAGCCATACATATGAAGTAGGGGGGTGGGGAGTCCCTGAGTCAGGGAAATTCCTGCTGTCCCATCCTCCTCGAGGTGGGAGCTCCTGTGCCCTGGTGAGTTGGGCTGAGGGGAAGAGCCTCCACTCTGCCTTGAGCTGCAGGTCAGTCCACCCTGGGGTGTGTATGGGGGGGGGGTGTCAGTATTCCTGGCAGGCAGCCTGGGAGCCTTACGACCACTCCCCAGAGCCAGTGCCCAGCATAACCCAGCCCCCAGCCTCCTCTCATCCTTGGCATGTTCTCTGGGGTTTGGCCTTTCTCTCCATGACCTGTTTCTGATGGAGGCACTTGCTGAGACAGGCCCACTAACTGCTTTCTAACTGTCTAAGAATAGAGCATGAGGGGGGCCCAGTCCCCCAGAGAGCCGAGCCCTGCTGAGGTCCCTGGTCCATGCTTTACCCCATCTAACATTGCCACTTTCTGGACAAAAGCCATCCTCTTTCCACTGTTTTCTCTTCAAACCCTCATGACAGCTGCTGGCTTCTTTGGGGGCCACCTTTCACTAAGAAACAAAGATGTCATCACCTCACAATGTGGCAGCCAAAGTGGCAGCAAGTAACAACACAGTGGTGGTTGATTTGTGCCCAGGACAGCTGCACCTGCTCCCCAAAACCTTACTCCCAGCTGCAGCCTCTGAGCAGGAGGCACATCTGCACCTCAACAAATGGACAGGAGATGATGCAGCATCTGTCCCCATGTCCCTGGCAAAGAGCAGAAATCTCCACTTTTAGGCCCAAACACAGAGTTGGTCTTCTTTTCCTTCTAGTTCCGGGGGCTAGGTTGCATTCCAGTCTGCAGATGTTTCATCATCCCACTCAATGTGTGTGTTTAAATAAAATCGAGCCCAACTCAGAAAGATCAAGTAGGGGGGATCCCTGGGTGGTGCAGCGGTTTGGCGCTTGCCTTTGGCCCAGGGCGTGATCCTGAAGACCCGGGATCGAATCCCACGTCAGGCTCCCGGTGCATGGAGCCTGCTTCTCCCTCTGCCTATGTCTCTGCCTCTCTCTCTCTCTCTCTCTCTCTCTCTCTCTCTCTGACTATCATAAATAAATAAAAATTAAAAAAAAAGAAAGAAAAATCAAGTGGTTTAACAGAAAATCCAGATTTCTGACTTCTCTTGAAAAATGGGGAGATCTGGTAAGACCAGGCCCACATTCCTCCATGGTGATGTTGGCCAAAGCTGAATAGTGACAGCTTCTTGACAGGAGGTCTCTGTTCTGTGATCCACCCCTAGGTCCATCCTTCCCATAGCACAACATCAAGACCTCTCACTGCCACCCTCCCTCATGGGTGTCACTGTCTGGATCTGAGTCAACGATTTTAGTTCACTTCTCTGGACTATAACTGTAATGCAATCTCATACACAGGCGCACTCAACCAAGGGCGGCTTCAGGAGGGGAGTCTGCTAGTTCTAGACTTAAGTTTGAAGTGTCTCACGGCCCCAGTCACTGATATCCAAGACGCCCACAGACACCCAGGATCTCTGCCCGGATGCCAGGGATAACAGGTATGTCCCTGGTTAGATGATGAACTCCCAGACAACAAGGACAGAATTCTTGGGTCCTCTTTGCATCATGAGCTGCATGATATGACAAGGCAAGCTTGGATGCCCATTAGAATGCCCTGAGGAACTTTGTAAAAAGTTCCAGGGCCCAGCTCCTTCCCCAGACCAATTAAACCAAGATCTCTGGGGTGGGACCTGGGTCTTGGTGGTTTTTAAAACTCTCCAGGTGATTCTAATGTGCAGCCAGGTCAAACTACCCTCCCCCACCACCACCACCACCAAGAGGTGCTTAATTAAGTGGTCTCAGTGGAAACAGGGTTGACATTAGTGAGAATGTATATCACAGAACTGAGAAAGCTATCCCAGCCCACCCACAATTCTCAGGGAAGGGAAGATTTTGAAGGGCACTTGTCATCTATGTGATAAAGTCCAAAGCCAGGGAGTACTTCCCAACTCTCCTTCTTCCTTTAGTGAAGCTGAGTGGGTTGCTCTCCAGAACCAGGATGGAAGGGCCATTCACTTCTGCCTTGATGGTGCACAGTTCTTGATAAATTCATTCCAACCCCACCTAGCCCCGACCTGTGGGGCCCAAGCGTATGAAGAATTTCCTGGAGAGGATCCTCATGATCAATCAAAATAGCCATAGAATGAAAAATACAGAATGACCGAGAATGGCTTGGTCTTGAACTTACTGTTTCATTAGAAGAAATGAGATGGTGAGATCCCGCTATAAGAATGCTTTGGCTCCTGGAATTTCCAAACCTTGCTACCTTAAGCAAGATGATGCATTTGGCCAAAATAATGATGCCCTCCACCTCTTTGATGGGCTTGGGGAGTAAATAAGCCAGTGACAAGCTTGGTGACAGTGTTCCCACCTGCTTGAGATGACAGACACAAAAGCTTGCCCACTCTCACCACTTCTATACAACGTTATATTGGAAACCCTAGGCAGTTCAATAAGACAAGAACAAAAAATTAAAAGGTATAAAAATTAGAAGGAAGGAAATAATGCCATCATTATTTGCAGATGACATCATTGAATACATAGAAACAAATCTATAGAAAACTGAGAATTTTTTAAAGATTTTATTTATTTATTCATGAGAGACACAGATAGAGAAGCAGAGACACAGGCAGAGGGAGAAGCAGGCTCCATGTAGGGAGCCCGATGTGGGACTCAATCCCAGGACCCTGGGATCATGACCTAAGCCACAAGCAGACATTCACCCATTGAGCCACCCAAGCATCCCGAAAACTGTGAGAATTAATAAGGGAATACAAAGTCAATATTTTTTAAATCGCATGTCTACATATGAACAGCAATTAGAAAATGAAATTTAAACCAGTGCCACTTATCATAACAAAAGTAGGAAAATCTCTGAAAGACATACAGGGCCTCTACACCAAAAACTGTAAAACATTTGCAAGAGACATTGAAGAAGACTTAAATAAATGGAGAGATATGCCACGTCAATCAGAAGATGCAATATTGGGGCTCCTGGGTGGCTTAGTGGTTGAGTGTCTGCCTTTGGCCCAGGTCATGATCCCGGGGTCCTGGGATTGAGTCCCACATCGGGCTCCCCACAGGGTGCCTGCTTCTCTCTCTGCCTGTCTCTGCCTCTCTCTGTGTGACTCTCATGAATAAATAAATAAAAATTTTTAATAATAAATAAATAAATAAATAAATAAATAAATAAATGGAGAGGGGTGTATTCCCTCAAAAGTTACTTCCTTCTCACTGGAAATGCTTTGGATTTAATG